TTATTATTACCATCATCACCATATATTTGTCTTTCGCTCCCAGGATCAGGGTTTAAGCTAATGACAATAACTTTCCACTTTTCATCTTCCTAGGCTAGCTTCTTGACCTTATTATTCTTTCTAATTTTATTTTTCATATGTCAGTTTCTGTAACTCTTCATATCGTTGGAAAAGTTTCGTGTTCAGAGACGCGCACTATACTCATAAAAATACTACTTACTTGGGCACGTCGTTTCTGTTGAGCGCCACAAGCGAGGCCCTGTCCCAAATAGCATCAAATGTACCTGCCACACTCCTGGGGATATTTTTGTTTTAGTAAGAGTTTTACGGCACTTGAAACACAATTAGGTCCAATAAGTGTGAAGCGTAATAAGCATAAAAAGGAAGGAGGACAGATAAGTACGTAAGATCATGTGTGACAGGAAAGAAAGAGCAAATCACGCCAGAGCACCCGCCAGTCACCCACGTCCCTGGGGACAAAAATGGATGCTGCACTATTCGTGAACAATTCGCAACCTTAAAGTTACAAAGTTCTGTCTTAGTATCTAATATTGAGAAATTTTACGTAAAAATATTGAGTTTCACAGCATGTTAAGCTTTTTCGACTGCATTTCTTTTAATATCTTGATAACGACTCCGAATAATCTTACGATTTTGATAGAACATAATTTTGTTTCTGACCTCATGGTCTTAGTAACTCAAAAACGGCTCAAAATGTCAGATAGATAGAACTTTGTAATTCTAAGGTAGCGAATTGTTACCAAAATATGATAAAGAAGAACAAGACAGAGTCCAATCTGGTGTGAAGTGAGAAGACGACAGTGGCGACGGATTGGACAGAGTCTCAGGAAGTCAGGCAGCTGCATAGCAAGGACAATGTTGGATTGGAATCCATAGGGTACGGAATCAAGGGGAAGGCCACGTGGAATCTGGAGAAAGGTCACATAGAATGATGTACATAAATGTGAGGAGTCATTGGATAATACTGAGAGCCTAGTCTGTGGTAAGAAAAGGTGAATCGTGTTTGTTTGTGGCTTTCACCTGATCCGATGATGATGACGATGATGATGATGATGATGATGATGATGATGATGATGATGATGATGGTGGTGGTGGTAGTGATGATGATGAT